CTGGATGTTCAGCGGCTTAATGCCAGCCTCTCGAAGAGAGTGTCGAATACACTCCTGCATGTCAAACCACGAGGCAACATCGAGGCCCATGAAGTGGGTTCTGTGAGCTTGCTTTTTTAGCTTGGTTTCTGCCAAGGAGTTCAAGACCAGATTTCGCGTGCTGAAGCTTAACGCGCTGCACTACAAAAGGAAATATGACTGGTTCAGAATCAGGACTGTTTGGGATATTAGCAGGAACAAACCAGCGTGATCAAGCCCTCTCACATCCCTCCTCAATCTCCGAAAGTACGTACGTATTGCCTTTGTAGCTCTTTGCTGAATTGACAGTTTCAACTCTTTGTTTGGGCCATTTCCCGGAAAGTAATATGTAGGGCTATGAGGAGATATATAGGTTTATACTACAAATAACAGCTTCAGCCATGCCCCAGCAGTCCTGCTGCGACGGTCCATGCGGAGCTGTGAGGCTGGCACTTCTGCCATCCTGATCATGGAAACTGTGTGTGTCATCACCTAAATGCGTCTTCATAGCTGTCATGACTAAGTCCCCGCCTCAGTGTTGGAACTGAATTTGCTATGAGAACCCGTCTATCGGCTATCCGCCATGAAGGAAGCTTTGTATGCCACCTTCGAGCTTTGCACAGCAGCTCTAAGCAGTAGTCCCTGAAACCACCTTTCAAAGTCTCCGAATGGACAGGCATCAAGTGCAGCCCGAAGTATGCTCTGGGCACCTACTGGAAGACCTGGATCCTGATGTCTCAAGAAATAAAACTGCTAATGGACTGAACCAGCGGTCAGCTGACACACAGCAATTTCTATGCAATGAGCCAGCTGCAAACCTAGGAGTGTTGACCATGTGGAGTAGTGAGTAGTACCCAACAAGGTTGCTCAAAGGTAAGTACCTCTGTTTCAACCATCTGGCCTGGTTGAGGCAAGTGCCGCACAACACGGCAAGCCTGCCGTATGGGGCTTTGTGAAAACTTGAGCAAACATCTTCTTCAAACGTACACTGTCTCTAGGGGTTGAAATCTATTCTGTGATTAGAGGCCAATTCTTGCATGGAGCATCACCTGCTTCAGGACTCCGTAACCATTCGGAAGGCGTGGCAAGTGGCAGCATTCGCAGTTCAACTCTCGAGCAGAGCAAAATTGACATTTTTGGTGGCTCAGGTGGATGCACCGTCAACCCACTTCCTCCCTACTAACTTCCGCTTCTTCTGATTCGACGCCCTTGAACTCTAGAAAGCTCTGCGTAAGGTGGGCCTAGCCCGCGAAAGGGGAAGACCATATCAGAGCCCGTTAAGCCTCTGGGACCTTCCCCCCCGCACACACCGTCCGAGCATGAACCCAATGCCTGGCAATATCCTCGCGGGTGCTCACGCGAAAGGCCATAGCGCCGCAGCCCTCACCGCGGATGAAGCCGTCCGCCGACTAGACGCAGCTTGGCTTGGTTTGAAGGTTTGAGGTTTTGGGCACCGGGTTGGGCTAGCGGCTAGCAGCTGGCACCTTGTGTTGTTCTACATGAGAAAAGGTGCTTTCCTTTGGCTGAATCCCAAGCCCTTAACTCTACACCCTAAGCCCCAACTTCGTGTCGGTCACCCAGTAAAACATTCATTTTCGCAATCCCTTCGTCGGAAAAGGTGACATGTTTGAAAAATCAGCTTGGTAGTCTTCAACGCACATTCCTCAAAACGTAGAGCATTCTGCTTGCCCCAAGGTTCAAACTGCAGGTGTAGATTCTATCACAGCAGTCCTAGCCCTCAAGCTTTCACATCGGATGTTATGTGTACCATCACGCTGTTCAACCTGTTCCCGTACGAACTAGTGGCGGATCTGCTTTGAAGTACTTCGCACTCATCAAACATAGCCATAAGGTTGCTGGAGCTTCATGCACGCCACAAGCAAAAATCAAGAGCCTGGTCGAAGGTGAAACACCGCCCTGCGTGGGAAAGCCTCAGGCTCTCTCACACTGCCGTTAACTCTCTATGCAACGGGCCAAGAACACCTGGCTTGGATTGAAGTCAAGCTTCTTCTTGCTGCAAACATACTGCCGCAAACTGCTCCAGAGCTACTCAGAACCAGCAAAACAAACAACCAACAGTTAGGAGGCGGGCAAGCAGGATCCAAGACTCAGGGCTCTCAGTCCCCGGTGCATGCATCCAACCAAAAAAACTTCCATCGAATCTGGGAATCCCAGCATGGACGCGCCGCAGAGCGAGATGGTGTAACTGGCAGATGCAAGTTGGTGAAGGAGGGCCTGCATTATCAAAATAGTCAGAGGCCTTCCTGTTCGCACAACACTCCGTATTCGAACAGCACTCGGTTCTCCACTTCAGTGCTCCTCGAGCCCCAGCAGCAAAACTGGTTCGGCCGTGTACTTTATCATTCCGGCGTTCAGCCGCAGTCTTTGCCATTATGTTGCCTGTTGGACAACCCTCTGGGTTTGAAGTCACAAAGCCACACGAACATATGCAAGTCACGTTACAATTGTCGGCACAAAAGGTCATCAGGCAATGGAGACTACGAAACTAAAGTGTCAACTCTTGCAGGCTTCTGCAGTCTCAGAGCCTAGTGTCAGCTACCCCTAGCCGCGATCCTCAAAATCACAAAATCACGTGTACCAGTAGTAACTTCAATCCAAACTCAACGCACATCCAAGCTGCTTTGCCTTTTTCCAGCCCACACCGAATCCCTAACTGCAAGTCTAAGTCCTTCGCCAAATTGGAGCACCCCATGCACCAGCAACCGACATGACTCTCATACCTGGGGGCGTGGCAAAGGGTCAAAGTGGCCGTTCGAACCCTGGGCCAGGCCGTACCGGACCTGTGGTAGCACGGGGTAGCCATGCTGAGAAATCAGTTTTCTTGTCCGAGAATAAAAGAGCCTAGCGTCGGTGGTGGCTCTAGCCTTTTGGCTGGATGCGCATGGGCTTCGGGCACAAGAGCTGCAAGATGTAAGTTTTGACTTCAGCGTATTATTTTCAATTGTCTATAAAGTATAGGATGAGCGCGAGCAATACAGGCATGTGCAATTACAAGACCCTCTGTCTTTCAGCCTCAAGGTGCGAAAGGTTGCTTTGGTTCATGGTCTCCCGTGAGAGTCCCCGAGGAAGCAAGTAATGGTCATAAGGCCTGAACAGCGCCTCAGCGCAAAAGAACACAAAATCTTGCGTGCAGGTGCACTACAGCTGCTAAATAGAGGCGCACTGAAAAACACCTTTGAAGTCTTTGAAGGTCCTCTCCTTCGTCATTACGGCCTCTGTATTATGCAGACATTCCGCACCTGCTGTCTCATGGAAGGCAGGTTGTCCTTCTGGTCGGGCATCACTGGTCTCATGAACTGGCGCGATGTGGCCAGAGGTTGCAGAATGTCAGCGTTGCAAGTGTTTTTGCGTGAGCTCATAGTAAGAGCATGGCTTCTGGGTGCCACACAGCCAAAAGTAGGTGAGAATGATTCTGGTCTAGGACTTGGGCTCTGGTGCTGACTTGGTCTCCATGTTGGACCAGCGTTGGTCATGTTTGAAGACTTGTATTTCAGAAGGTTGGCAAGTAGAGTTCACGTAAGCCAAACATGCCCGAGGGCACATTGTGCATCAAACCCACTGCCGACAGCGAGGATGAACAGGCTGTCTCGCAGGTGGATGTTGGCCCTCGCAGAAGGTGGATGTTGATGGCACACATCAGTATGGCATGAGTATCTGTATAACTTGTATAGGTCTGTCACTATTCGTCGAGCGGCAAACTGGACAAGATACAAGCGAGGTATCTCAAGCTTGCATCTACGTGAGTTTTCAGCCAACGTCAAAAAGCCAATCCCTGAGCAAGCGGTGCATCATGCCTCGCATCCCGAAGATAAACTGCAATCGAGAAGCCTTGTTTTCTCAGGCTGGATTACGTGGCAAACTGCTGAAGCCGTGCAGTGCATAAGGTAAGCCCAGTGGAAGAAGATCCAAATTCTCTGCTGTAGTGCCACTGGGTAAGACTGTGCTTGCAGAATTTCATCTGCTTCTTCATGCAGCAAACGCAAGGCAACGGTTCTTCCAGCAGGAATACAGACTTGGTGGCCTGACAATGCCTGACAGTGATATAGCAGGATCTCAGGGCAGAACGCATGCTGCCGGCATGTTCTGATACATGATGTTCTCGTCCCAGCCAAAGTTCCCTGTTGAGACTTGCCCGTTTGGGATGCAGGAATTTCGCAGATTCTGGTACGCTTCCATCAAGGAGTGACTGGAGACCTTCAGCGGTCCCAGAGTATCAGGAGGGCCTGATCAGAAGTGGGGGAAACTCGGCACTGGCCCTCCAGTAGGAGAAGACCGAAAGGACCTGGCCTCGACAGGCCATGTTGGAGTACTCGGAAGAGGCATAGCCGTAGGAGGTGCACCTGAGAGTAGACCGGTCACAACAACTTCCCTAGTCTTGCAAGGCGGGGAGACTGGGACATCTAAATTAAATGATCCTACCTCCTCACAGGCATGCAAGGTTGGCAGTGAGCTAGCACAGGAACAATTAAAACTTAAAACCAAAATGGGCACCCAGTTCTCCAGATCTCTGCCAACCGCATACAAGCTGCATAACCTGAAGCACAAATCTGACCTCGGCACCCTCAGACTCAAAGATGGAAAGCTTGGGCTCTCACATCTCAGCACCCCGGAGAGAGTCCCTGGTCCAGCCTGCCCTGTAAAGGGCATCGTAGCCTGTCATGAGACTTGCAATGTACGAGGGGCTTAGCAAAGTCGGTGACATCGGGAGTACATGACCCTAGCAAGCTCAACGCGCCCAACTACGATGCATGACAAGGGTCGAAGTCAACGCCGTATCTCATGCCCAGCCTACAGCCCTGTGACATTTTTTGCGGTGCTGACAGCAGCTGGTTGGGTTTGAAGAGTCCTAGCATGGACTGCCCTCAAGCTGCCTGTCAAGCGAGATTGGGAAAAAAACTCTTGCAGGAACAAGGCAGAGGACTCTAAATGTGAGGCGTGCGCATGTGAACAGTCAACCCCGACTACGATGTGCGAGCTTGGCCTACTTCCAAGCAATTCCTTTGGACCGGGTCCAGGAACCTGACCTGGCGCAGGCAGAGATTCATAAACATGCGGATCCCAAGTCAGCTCTAGCTCGGCCTCGGCTATCATTTTCAGCAAGGCCAGGCCAAGGTTGCACATCAGACTTGGGATTTGTCAGGTGCAAGACCACAGGGCTTTGTGGGCTCCAACTTCAGAGTCTTGGAATGAGGGGCCCTGCAGCGGAATCCAGCACTGGAAGGCCAGGCGAGCAAGCAGGAAGTTCAAACCGGATTTTTTGGCATCTAGCTCTGCACATGCCGGCCTCATGCGGGGACAGGTTAAAGAACTCATTGTCAAACATGGACATCTGCTCATCTGAGAGCATTCCGAAGTGCTGGATGTACCCCTGGCATTGGCGGTGTCTGGATGGCTTCTTGAGATCTCTTGGCTTTACTTACAAATAAATAGCTTGGTCTCGGGGAGCCACTGCATTGATTGAGAAGGCAGCATCTGCTGATCTGGCCCCGCTTTGGGCACAAAGCTTTCCCTTGTTCTCCACCTCCACCTTCACTTATGAATTCGCCCCAACGCTTTTTCACGCTCCAATAGGATTGTTAGCTCACAGGTTGATTACTTATCATTGATAAACTAGTCTGAAATGTAGTGACTCTCAACGTACATAGACGTCCAAAATGTGTGGAGACACATGAGCAGATGCAGCGCTTCTCCCACAACTCAACCTGCCGTCGCATTACACTGGAATGGAACTGGTTGTAACGCTGAGCAAAACGGACCCTCATAGAACGAGAACATGCCGAATATGCTGGAATAGTTGCAGAATCTGCGCGATGACCCTTGCTGATAAACAATCTGGACAAACTGAAATTCTACATTAGCAGAGGTCCACTCCCCCAAGGTTGTTTCGAGCAACCTTGGGAACGGCATGGGACAAAGCGAGTTACGAAGAAAATTTCATGGATAAAGGCATCTGCAAATGATCAACATGGAGGTGTCAAGCGTTATAATATTTCACACAAAGCAGCCTTGGAAATGCTGAAGCCAAGTACCCCAAACTGATATTTGTCGCCTTTCCCTCAGCTTGAGCATCAGGTTCCGGGGAATAGTACAACTCCAGGTCCCATCCTTGCGTCAGGGGCAAAATCCCAACACGTCGCGACTCATGTGTAGCATGCATGCTTCTACAGTTTCTACTCAGTTGGCTTGATTTTGCTGTTGGGTCACTTTGCCGACTTTGCCATGATCATGAAATTCTTGTTCAGAGCTTAGCCAGTATTCACACACTGAGCTCCACAGACATCGACTTTGCTGCAGCGCAGAGATCGGCCAAGCAAGCGGCGCTGGAGTGGAACTCGAATGATGGTGTCTGTGCCGCCAGAAAGAACAGCCCAGTAGTCCTGCGACCGCATTGTATGCAGCGTAAGAAGTGCTGCAGTCAAGATGCCTCAGGGCAACCGAGAGCCTGTGGCTTCTTGACTGAATCCCCTGAGCCAGCTTCAGGCCAGGAAAATGAACTCCCTCCAAAGAAGATGGAAACTCATAGAGCTCCACTTGTTGGGAAATAAGTCCAGCTTGCATGTTATTCTCCATTGTCTGCTCTACTTGATTCTCCATTACTGGGGTAATATCCCCCAACCGTATATAATCCCGGTATATACCCCAATATAGTGCTAGTTTCCGAAAGGCCGAGGGAATGCACCACGTTTAAACCCCCCTGGTTCAATTGCCTTGCGTTGAGTCTGCAAGTACATCCGTGAAACTGCTGACGTGCGCTTCTCTTGCAGTTCCTAGTGGAAATCTGGACAGGTTCTTATGCAAGTCATAAGCACGGGCTCACTCACCCTTTCAAAAAAGACAAGTCAATGTCCTGCTAGGTGTTATCTTGCAAGAGCGTCTGCAAAGGACAAGACTGACCGCTCAAACCACGGATAAAAAGGAAATGCAGGCAAACCCTTGTCTGTCATGCCCGTGACCCAGAACCCGACTTGCCTCGATTCCATTGGTTGACCCAGGATCTCTGACCTGCCATCTTCAGTATCTTCGCCATTCCCGGTGACTAAAGAGATGTGCGAGTCCTCTCTTGGGAGCTTGGGTTGTTGTGACAATCAAGCGCATGAAGAAGTGGAGCACTTGACCAAATCAGGGCGGAGCTTTAACAGCCTCAATCGTGGTTAGCATGAATGGTGGAACAGATCCCTAGAGTCGCCCGAATATGAAGTCAGATATAGTATAGTGCTTATGTTGTTTCCTATTTCCTTTTCCTTCATTCCGTACAACTACCCATCAGGGTGGAGCTTTGATAGAGGTAGCTCAGGTGGTCCATTACGGCCTCAGATGCGAGTGCCACCATGTACATCAGTTACAAAGGCTGCTCTCGCGCTCTGGCAAGCGTGGGCTTCGTTTAAAGACTGAGCCTCTCTCCATGGCTCTGCTTCCTAGACATAAAACTTAACATTAGCACAGTGGTTGGACTAAACGAAGCCAAGGCGGCGTGTGGTCATTAGCTGGCGGAGATTTCTCAGACGCAAACATACCCCCAACAAGAAGCGCACCGCCATGCCAATGACGTCCACCGTCTCGTTCCCAGTGCCTGGAGAAAGCTGCAATGCTCATGCCAGACACTGCGTTCTGAAACAGACATGCAACCACCTCAAGTCGTTACTGAGTCTACCTGTTTGGGCCAGGGATTCAGGAAGGTGTCTTACAGCGACTACAGCCAGAAATGCCCGCGCGTCTCAGTAAGCAGGCCAGCCAGTCCGTACAGAGGGCCAGCAGGTATCCTCTTCTGTTCCTTCCATGCACAGGAGATGCAGCTGTCCAAGTGGAATATGAGGCTTGGCCGTAGGGGTCTGCAAGACATGCCAAACTGAGGACAAGCTGAATTGTTAAACTCTCACGATAATCATCACTCTGCCTATCCCATTGCTGCTGAAGCCTTAATGCAGCCTAGCTAGGGCACATTCCAACAAACCTGACTCAAGACTCAGGGTCGTGATTATCGGATCTCGAGCCCTTCCTTGCTCGATTCAAGGCCCTGCAAAGGCTTCGGCAAGACTCCCTGACCGAATGATATGAACAAGTCAACTTCAGCAGTCTTTGCGTTCTGGGATTGTTGAATCTGACAACAAGTCCGAGGTGAAACGTGGAAACTCCTCAAAAGAAGGGTCTCTTCTGAAGGTCCATCAAAGCGGATCTTCGGATACCAGTCTCCGGTTTTGGGGCCGAGGGTCCGGAGCTCAGGGGCCCAACTTTCGAGGAAAGCTCGGGAGGCTGTGTAGGAATCGCATCTGCGTCCACAGCTAAACACTCCAGCTTCGGTCCCCAAGGCAAAGATTCCAGCTTGCATATAGGAATGGCACAACCAAGTGCTGGCACGTGTCACCCGTAGAAACTTGAACGCCGAAGCCTGATGTGACCGGCTGAAGCTACATTTGCGAGTGAACCTGTGTCCATCGGACTGAAGACTCAATCTGCAAGACATTAGACTGCAAATCTGTCTACCTTTGGTCGATGTGACCTCAATTGAGCTGTGCTCTCTTTTTGGGGTTGCAACACAATTCCTTTCCAGTTAAGGTCCCAGGTTTTGATACCCACGTAAGCTGAGCAGAGCACAACTCGTGTGTCGACTGTTTGCCGAAGAAAGGCTTCTGAGATCAGGCCTGCTTTGTGGTCCTTCGGTCGGGCGTCTTCAGCACCCCAGTATGCCAGACATCATCTGGAAATCCCAGTATCTCCTTTGCCCAGCATACAAACCCTCTGTTTGGCAAGATGGGCCAGAATCTCCAGAGGCACTTAAAGATGGAAATGAACTACACCCTGAGATTTGCGCACGGCCCGAAAAGTAGCACGTCACTCCCAGCAATGCACTTCTTGGTGAGACCTTAGCTTTGGCAAGGGCAGGATTTTGGTTTGGGCTTACTTAGCTTACTGGGTTCGGGATCTCGCAAGCTCTGGAAGAAGGTTTAGGGTAGATCCACATTTCTGACACCTTGGGGCATTGAAAAAATAATCTCAGATTCAAAACGTACGGCAGCGGTGCGTCAAGGAAGTTTGTTTGGATCTTACTGAAGTAAAACTGGACTCTACAGCTCTTGCCTTTGCTTGTGGGCTTGAACAAAACACGACCCTGCCCGGGAACTCCATGACTCAAGCCTGCACTTCGCACTTTGTGCATAGATTCATTGGAAGACCACCTGGCCTTTTGGGAGTCTACAAACAACTGCCACAAATTAGCCTGACTTCTTGTCGAAGCCCCTTTCTAAGTTCAAGCAAGTCACTCCGGGCCCCCACCGCACGATATCAAGAAGAAAGCGAACTCGAATCCTGCAAAGAGCAAAAAAGCAAAAGCTGCCAAGCAGCCACACAGGGCGTCTTGCCCTGGACAAGTTTGGTCATGCTTAGGCCCGCCCTGGCAGAGTTGGCGTTCAAATACTAGCACTGGGCAATGGCATCAGAGCTCGTTCTTAAACGACCGGACACCACCAGACTTAGCCTGTCCCTCCCGAGTGGCTCAAAGGGCGGTGAGATTGTGACTGACATGGCTGGCTTCAATTTACTGCTGGAGCTACCATCCGGTGGCTGTTCTATGACGCGGAGACGTCTCGCTGCTTGAGCACTGCTAGCTTCGTGCCTTCTTTATGCTCGCACGCAGCTCTCGTACGTCGGGATCCTTGGCTGCAGCACCCTGCATCCGCTTGTGCACACCCGTCAAGCGCAAGTAGAAGGCCGTGTGGCATGTACTTGATGTTAATGAAGGCATCTTCGCCCCCGTGGACCTCAGGCGGTCCCAGCAGTTTGAGTTTTGGTGCTTCAGCAGTGACACACAGATTAGGACGGACCGAATGTCTGGGCAGCAAATGTGACCCGCAGAGTGTGAGTGGCAGTTAAAGTTCCTTTGGCAGACAGGAAAAGCCAGATCACCTCAAAGATCTCCAGGGTCTCGTGGATCAGCTCCCCCAGGTTCAGCCGCTTCCGCTGCGCATAGTCCATCTCCTGATGCTTATGACCCGTCTGGGGTGTGGCAGCCCGAAACTAGCCATGAAACCAGAACTCCCAAGGTGCCCGTGACATCACTGTGTTGTGCTTGAAAATAATCTACAGAACACCAACCAGATAACACTGAATACCAACCCGCTCAGCGTCATCTCCCAGGTTCTTGTTCTTGCCGATGAACAGCGCAAAAGTTGGCAGGAGCTGACGGTAGTAGGGGACCTGATCAATTGCAGAAGCGCCCCGCTGCTGCACACCAGCGAAATTGATGTGGAAGCTGAAAAACGCTGTGTTGGATCCATACTGTTTCACCACGCTGAGACTAACATGTTGAATAGAAGTCCAAAATTACGACTGTTGAACATTGAGGTTGGGAAGCCTGTGCAGATGACTGTGTCAGAAGCCCAGCTGCGAGAGCTTCTCCAATCATGTCGCCACTGAGCACCAACGTCTGCAACACCTGCAGACCCATCTCAGCACAGCAACAAGATGCGCAGGTGCAACTCAACATTGTCAGGAACATACTTCTGGGACTTACCTCGAACTCCGACTCCACTTTGAACCTTACCGCATGACTGTTCACACCTTCAGGATGGTACAGATGATGGTTGGATCCTAGCAGGTGCATCTGGAGGGTCAAGATCACAGAGAGAGATAGGCCACTGAAGAGCAAAGACAAACCCAATCTGTCAAGAATGTCTCTCTGAGGAAAAGCTTCCACTTGTCAGCTCAAGCGTGGATTGACAACTTAGATGTTGCGAGTTCGACGCCAGCGACACAGCTGGCGCGCCAGAGGAATGTCCGAACAGTCAACATGCAACAAGAGCCGTCCGAGCTAAGGTACTCATGAATACCAAATTCTGGAGGTTCTGCTCAAGAACATAAGCGAATACCTCAGTTAAAGTCTAGCAATCTCGCACAAACACCGGACTCCTTTGTGTTGAGAGCAACCTTCACAGGGACGATGAGCTGTGGCACCTCAGGTTGGAATATGACGGAATGTTGCGGCTTGAAATCGTGTCCTCTGCCTGACCCTTCCTAACGGTCCATAGAGTAGGGGTCTTGATAGACAGATTGGGGTATCCAGAGGAATGACGGCCCCGCAACCCGGCCAAGGCAATCAGGCCCCGCATGAACACCCACTTAGTACCCACTCCGCATGAAAGAAGGGCAAACCCTTTTTAGCTAGGCTGAGGCGCGACAGGCAGAATTCGGGCACCACCACGTGCTAACATGTCATAGGTCCCGGTGACGGCCAGGAACCGGTATGGGTCCTGTTAGAATATGACCCAACATGAAGCAATTCCATGGCCCTGGGTTCCCTGTAAGTCGGTTAGTGTCACTTCTGACATGCTGACAAGACAGTCCTGGCAGCATGCTAAGGTGTAAAAGACTATCTGCGCCCATCCCTCGCCGTACACCTGCTTGAACCATACAATGGATTGCAGATTCGAGCAAGGATGCTTTTGGAGCCGTCAACCGACACCATCCCCACCCTCGGCTCCTCCTTCTCACGGAGGCCTTCAAAGAAGATGGGCAGGTAGTGATGATAGTCCAACCGCTCCAAATCCACCTTTGAGGCCAAGCTTGCCGTTTCACAAAATCCACAGAAGGCTACCCCGCCTTCCAGGTGATCTTGCCGCCCACGGAGCCGTGGAGGATCGAGATCGGAAGGTCACCACGGTCGTAGAAGTTGCGGAAGTGGGTGGTTGGAACTACCTGTTCCAGGCCAGTCCCGCCGTCTCGGATCAAAGGTTTGGGCTCACTACATGGCTGGTTGAGGTTCATGCTTGCAGTTGGTCTCTAGGCCCCTCAAGTTGTCTCAGTGAGTTGCACAGATGCTTCTGGCACCAGCTGGCTTGCAAGACGGATCCTATGGGCTCTGAAGGCGTTGGGGCTGAAGGGCTCACCGTTCACCAGCTGAGCAATTTAGTTGGCAAAAGGCACACAAGGGCCTTTCCACATCTCCGCTTGCTGGATCTTACTAGTCAAGTTTCTGTGCAACAAAATCCTTTGTGCAGAACATTCCCCTTCTGCATTACCCTTGAGTTTTGGGACGTTACAGGTGATGTGAAACGCAGCTCCACTGCGAGCAACCAGAGAAGCACTTCTACGACCAAGCCTTCTTGCAAAACAAATCGCAGAGTGTGAGTTCGCTTACATCCCGCTGCCCAATAGATGTTCTGCAAAGGCGTGTTTTTGGCGGCCTGCCGACGGCGGCAGCCAGCTGCTGGGGGCGAGTCAGGCGGAAGATGTGGATTCCAGCTGAAGCCCTGTGTCCTGAAACATCTGCAACTCAGGAGACCAAGTCGTTCCAAGAACCTTAAAGCTTATCACTGCAACTGTGTAAAACGCAATCTGTCATCTGACAGGTTGTTGATTGCTTCCCTTCTGTCTTAGGCACATTGCTTGCTGGATGTCTGCCATATCTCATCTTTCGGCACGCATCTGGAGGCTTGCAAAAACGATTGGGGTTTTGCAAGCCGCTTCTTCCACCGCTCGCCCGAACATGAGAAAATCTCGAAGCCCGTGATGTTAGCTCGAACCCTTAATCCCGCGTCCTGCGGAAGGAGGTCAAGCCTGGGTCAGAGTGGATGCGCGGCAGCATCTGCGTTCGGGAAGTCTTGGCCGACTTCCTTGGTATAGGGTTTGCTTATGCATGCCTGCCATGAGTTCTGGAATTGAAATTACAGGAGTTGACGCTTTTGCCGATGTGTAAGCAGAGTTCTTGTCGTCACCAACCTTTTGGCATTTCCTTACTGAAGGAGGACCTGCTAGCGGTAAGCATTACGGACTTGTTTTGACTGAAGTGGCTTCTATGAGCCCTCTTCATGATGTTGCCCCTTCATTACGCAGGTATTTTATCAAGGGCATGTGTGTGCCCACCCCTGGGCTAGAGTCACCAGTGTGTTATGCTTGCCTGCTGACATGGATTCTGATGCTGTCTATCTACATGTCTGTTCGCGGAACAATGCACGGTTTCAAGTGAAAACCAATAAGTAAGAGTACTGTGCATGTACGAAGGGGTGCATTACAGCACGGAAGATGGCACCGCAAAGGCCCCAGGCTTCGCAGCCAAGAGCTATACCCAAGACTGTAATCTAATAGTACGAGCCTTAACATCCCGTTAAACGTGTGGAATCAGGAGCTGAAAACTATCCGTGATTATCGCTTACGAAGCTGCCGCCTTGGGGCAGAATTAAAAAGAAAAATTGCTTGAGCTTGCAGCCCAGGCGCAGCTTGGACTTAACGCTCTCTGGGAGGTAGTCATGCGGGAAGTCGCCAAAACAGGAGTGACTGCCCATGTCCAAAAACCCGCGCGACTTTTCAAACCTTCGGCTCTGATGGTTTTCATTTTGGTGTTGCAACTCCAGGCAAGAAGCTTAAACCACAACTGAGGGACGGCGGGAAAAAGCGCCCGCAAAACAAACCCTACCTTTTCCAGCTCTTGTGTTACGTTTATGTGCATGCTCTGGGCATTCCTGACAGAACCTGCAACCTTGCAGATTGAAGACAAGTCTTCCATCCCCGAATAATCAACACCTGCACTTTTCATATCAGCATGGTGCGGGTCTGGGTCAGGACATTTGTTCCTCTTCAGCAGACGTTTGCAACTTCAACAAGAAGTGAAAACTTCATCATCAACATTTCCTGCTCCATCTCATATTCGAAACAAATCTCATGGCAATGACTACAGTCAAGGATATGAAGCCCGCACTGCAAACCCCAAGCTCAAGCCCGCCTGCATACCCTCAAGAGCCACTCTCCAGACATGTATTGTGCGCAAATGTTTTTTTCTGCAAACTGCACTGGGGTGTAATCAAGCAGTTGGAGGTGGGGTTTTGAAACATATGCATGTAACATATACGATCAGGGGTTGAAATCCACCGCTGGCACTTCACTGCTGGTACCCCTTCCAAGGCCCTCAGTTTGGTTTGCAACTGAGCTGCTGCCTACTTTGCTTGCAACAAGGTGAAGATGTTGATCATGGCTCGAGTGAAAGCTCCTCCTTGTTATCCTCCCCTTTATTGCTCCTCCCTGTCCTGCTGTTGTTGCCGTTGTGGCCTTGACCGTAAGCTCCCCTACCACTGCCACTCGCTACCTCTGCCACTGCCGATACTGCACTACCCTTGTTGCTACTACGACAACCAGAACCACGACCACGACTACAACAATAACCACTAGTATTCCTGCGACAATTGCGTGCCAGGGCCGCAGACTCTAAACTGCTAGTGCGAACAAGCCCCGGTTTAAAATAATCTCCCTGGCCATCCCATTGGCCTTGGCCCGCACTTGCCGTCTTTGCGAACCATTGCCCTGCACAGGGACGTGGGCTGAAAAGAATTCTGTGAAAAGCGACAGCACCAATTACTATGAGGAACATATGCTCCATTGAACTGGCGGAGGGTCAAGGGTTTTCATGAATCCCCGACCATCTTTTGGGACCGATACGCACTTCTGGGTCGTGGAGACTCAGAAGGAGGACGGGACTTGGGGGCTTGTCTAAGGTCACTGCTCCAATCTTAGTCCAAGCCTGAACCCACAAGAAAAGTCCGGTAACGAAAATATACGTATAAATAAATATATATATATTTGCATCAAAAAAATTACACTTTGTCATCTAATGCGGCGAGTCTCTGCAAGGCATCCTCCATCCTGACACAGCACGATCTTGAAGGTGAAGTTTGGAAGTTTGGGTGTGGAAGGTGGGGCCATCCCAAACTCAAGTACTGAGCAAATGCTTGCCAAGCCTTCCAGACCAAACCTTCCTTCAAAGCTCATGCACAACTTGATCCGTAAACATGCCAGCACATTCCAGGTCAGGACTGCATATCTGGACCGGACCACCTCCTGGAACCTGCCCGCAGCTTTGTCAGAGAGTTCGCTTAAACGGCGACAGCAAGACAGCGAAGCAGTAAACCCAAAGGCCGAAACCGCAGTCCTCAATTTTGAACCCTCGCATGCTTCCGCCCTGCAGCTTATGCCCTTGAACACTTGTATTGACGTCTTAAGCTGTAGACTCATAGGTGTTGCGCGCTACCAAGTGCAAACCTCCGATGTCTCAAGCAAGATTTATGATTTCTAGCGACGTTCGGTTTTGCATGCCGTGGCGGTAGGCACGCTCGGTTGAAGCATGCGGACTGTGGACGTCCTCCTCCAACGCTTGACTGTCACCCCCTCACACACCAAAGAAGTGTTCACGCCCTTGCGTCTGGAGTCTGGAGCCATCTGAAAGCGCGGAACAACACTTTGGGAGGCGCCAATCTTCGACAATTTCTGTCTGTAGTCTCGACATGCTCAAAGAGTGCCTTCTGACTACTTACGAGGCCCGAACAGGAAGCAGCGTTTTTATCCTGACAGCGCGCGCCACTTGCAATACAACATTGCCAGGTACCTTTCCTGATTCCTGCGCTTCAACAAGACCTCTCCTTGCTGATCCATGTCTTCACTCTTCACAATAAGTTTGCACATGTGGATCGCAACATGCAAAGAAGTCGGAGTTTCATTTCAACACGTACGCAGGGTGTTTTGTCATCCAATCTCAAGTGTCCACTGTTGTTCGTGCAGCAAGTAGAGAACATAATGGCGCATGGCAGCCGCAGGTTTTCATGTAGTGGCATGACCAAAACCTAAAACACAAAACAAAACAATCAACAAATCAATGCCTTCTTCCATTTGATGCTGTGCAGCTCAACACGTACAAGCTCCCAGCTCATGGTCTGAGTCCTACCTGCTCTGAGCCCGGGCGCCAAGGCGGACGTGCGCCAATGCTTAAGATTACTCCCGCACATCAAAGCCCTGCACTATTGATGGATCCGAAACCTTGCGCTAACTGTTAACCTTCACAGTGGCAATAGCCCTTCAAAGGCATGTGCTGACCCATCTGTAGCACCAACAGGGCCAGGAGTCATCAGGGTGGCCGCGGGGCCCGGCATCTTTTCGAAGCCGCAGCAGGGATCGGGAGTGTGCCTACAGTGCCTACCTACCTCCTCTTCACAAGCCAGGCAGAGCGAGAGCTGTGTGGTTTGGCGAGCTTCGGCATCAACGATATTCAAGCAGGCTGTGCATCGCTCGGGTACGTGTTAGTATGCAGCAAAAGTAGCTTTAGCACTCATCTTGCAGTATCACTTGGAAGAACACGATACCCTCAAGCTGGAACCTCCGGAAAATTTGCCTCTTGCCATGTGCCGACAAAAACACGAGGCCCAAATACCAGCATTTGAATTTGATATCTTTGACGTTCATCCTGGAATCGACAAGCATGACGCCGGAATCGGAAAGTACGAGCAGCTTGCACGCACTTGCCTCCGCTGCATTGAAGCTGCGGTCACGTGACACCATCAACTCACCTGGCTCTCCGTATCGAAAAACTGCACTGTTGAGCATCTCCAGCTCTGAGTTCGGAGCAGGAACCACTCATTAAGGAGACTTCAACAAGTGAAAAAGTTGACTATAAATGGAACCCTCAAAAGGATAGACACTAGTTCTCCCCGGGCGAATCATTGTGAAAAGCCCACATGCTCCTTTAAGCTCCACATACACAACAATGAATCTTGCAGCACGCCTACAAAGACCAGCTCTGAATTCTATATATATATATATCTATGCACTGTTTGCAAGGTACTGATTAGAAACCTAATTCACAGCCGGAAACTCTGAACGCACTAGGAGAGACTATGCATTCCGTAGATCCGTCATACCTGCAAAAGCAAACAGCTGACCAAAACAGTGACTGCATTGTCTTTGGACTTATGACCCTCTTCATGACTGCAGGCCTGGAAGTGGGTCCCGGAGCAGCCACACCTCCGAAGCAAAAGGAATGCAGTGAGCTGAAAAAAGATTTGAGGAGTTGCAAGTCTCTCAAGGCTGTAGATTGAGGTTGCTGTTCAAAACTTCAGGACAGACTACACCTATAGGTCTGGCAAACTAGCTCCCTGCGACAAGAGGGGCTACAGTATTGCTAAATGCTGCTTGCTTCACAAGCGGCTTCCAAGTTCGGATCCTAACTGGTTTCATGACTTAAGCGGTTCGGCCCCAAGCTTGAATCCGAGATCACCCTACCGAACAGCTCATGGCCTGCATAGCAAACTGGCCCTTTGTCGGGTTGAAACCTGGAGGGGCACGGCTCAGGTTCCTTCCATCCAAGCAATGATCTATCCGAGTCGCGATGCAAAGTAGCGTGGCGGTGAGTCATGCAGGAACGTTATCACATGCCACTGGTTGCAAACCCCAAGCACCCAGGTGCCACCACGGAGCTGTAGTCCAGCACGTCATGACGGAAAATCAGTGTGTGGCCGTCCTGCTGCGACAGATCCACGCTCAACAACTACAGTGTGCCAAAGGCTTGCACGCGTAGTCATGCAGGCTGCATGACGTGTATCAATATGGGCACCCCACATTCGTGCAGCCATATCTGTGTGCAAAGACCATACTCCGCAAGCCACCGAGTATGACAGACAGCACGCGTGTTTATCTTTCTCTCTCTTCTTCTTCCTCTTCTGCTACCTGCTGCACCCCAAGCCGGGCCGCGCTGGTTCTGGTCAGGACTGGCGCGTCCCGGAGTGCTGAGAAACTGGAAGCCAAACATGTCCCGATGCTCCCCGCTTGGCCCCTAATTAAAACTTCCTCCCTTCTCTTGCCGACTATGAAATCAGTCCGGCCCTGTCAAGCATCCACTACACTTTTAAAGAGAGCGGAGACCTCGAAAGAGACATGAAACCTGACACATGGAAGCTCCTGCGCAAAAATTGATACATTGCCATGCTTCAGCACCCGAGAAAAAAGTTGACCGAGGCAGATCAGCTTCTCCCGTGCCAAGTTCCCAGAAACTCATCACCCCGACATGATCAGCATACTGCCCCAGGGGGCATCTGGGGCAGCATACTCTCACCCTATCTCCTTCTCTCTTTTTGTTGCTTTGCCTTGCTTTCCGGGGACTTGTGCCGAAGCACAGGCCACGTGGCCAGAAGCTCTCTGCCTCTTCTAATTACTTGCCATGTGAGCACCCCTAGATGCTGTGCAATTGCGGAATGACAGACGAACCTGCCTGGCCTTAGCCATCCCCGCACGTCTTGGTTACTGGTTGCATGAAACTTCAGCTTGGTTCCCTATCTCGCCATTCATCACCGACTGCATATCCATTGACGGGCGATAATGTCCGATTATGTCCAACTACTACGCTAAGACTGGTGGTTAACCCAGAAGCTTCTTCTTCTTTGGGGTCAGCTTTCAAGGACACCCAAGCTAGAACCCTGGTTGAACAACCCTGCTCCACCCAAATTTCATAGCCTCCCGATTGAACGTCCTCCCTGCTCTAGCCTGCTGTGACACGTCTCCTGCAAAGGACCCCGCACCTGCACTGGAATGCCTTCGGAAAATGCATTGTCTACCCTCCCGCTTACAGGAACTAAAGCAACTCAACTCTCCCCCACACCCAGGCACCCCCAGCACAGGGTCTGTACTGAGGGGTCGTAAACAGCTAACTGCAATTCGGGCAGATCAAAACTGGACAAACAAATTTGCTTCCATACGGGACTTGCTGTCAGCACACTCGCCCCCACCAGCTAAGCCAAAGGCAGCCGCTTAATCGAAACCATGGAGATGTATATATATGTACAACACTACATGCCCCGGTCAGGTCCCCAAGTCATGCTCTACTGGCACAGCTTGCAGTCCAGAGTTGCCTCACAATAGCAAGTTGTGCACTACAGTCTGCTACATGGAGATCCACACATCCTGGGGTGATGATGAAGGAACAGCAGCATACTTTCCCCCCCCCTCCCCCGCTTGCGATTTTCACAATTCACTTTCTTTTTACGAGGGGCGCCCCTGGCAGCTGGAATTTTCCTCTCTCTTCTCGGTTCACTAGGTCACTAGGATTTGTGTGGTCTCCTTTACCAAAGCGGGTCACCGTTTCAAGCGAACCATCACCCGGAAGCTCGCTCTTCTTCTTCTCCAGGCGCTAGGAGGCTCTACAGCCCCCGGGGGCCCAGCCCCCCACCCGCGCATGTCCCAGTGCCGGTCGGTACTCCCGAGGATCATGGAGCGATGGCACGTTAGCTAGTTGCACAGGAATTAGGGGAACTATAGCTGCCATTCTCGATCCTGCCAGGGAGCTGTGAGACTACAGCGCAGCTCGGCACAGTTGGCCTACTGCATGGTGAAGTGTTCGGGCCATCAACCATCCCCGTCACACATGCCAAAGTGCACATGGCTGAGGCTTCAACTGCCCTAGACTTCCACCCCTTGTGCTCTACGGTCGCACTGATGCACTGCTGCTGTGCTTGGCCTTGGGCTCTACTGCATGGATTATTCAGGGAAACACCCACAGTCAACAACAACAACAGCGACTGGAGAACAAGGCGAATGTTCTGTCCCCGCAGCCTGTGCGAAGCAGCAAACAGACATGTCTCGGAATACCGTTTATACATGGTCAGCCAGTCCCTCGGGGTAACTATGGAAAACAGCATGCCAGGATTTGACCCCCTCCCGTGGGTCCATCCACTTTTGTCTTTTCTTCTTACGGGAGGTCGCCCACGGCCGCTTTGTTTTGTCTTCACTCTTCTGGGCTACACTAGGGTTACCGGCTGACCAGAATGATACAAGGTAGCAGTGAGGGGCTTCCTACATGTAACTACACCAGGCCCATACAAGGATGCCAAACTCACGCAACATCAACAGCCCACGTAACTGCAACACGTATCCCAGAACACTTCCCGCCCTCGCCTGCTCCATGTATTCATGGACCTTCGGTCGCCAGCTCCACTGAGCGACACGCAGCCATGGCCCAAAACCGTACACGCTTGCCGGATCATGCCACGCCATAGTTGGTACAGCTGCATAACTAAGAAAAGCCCAGCCAAAAGGATCAACAGCCTAATCATTACAACTGGGTTTGCGATGTTCGGCTTTGCAAAACTGTGCTCACGCAGGGCCCCGTTCATCTTACCTGAGCCTAAAGCCTCTCGCCCTACCACTGTTTCAACTCGACTGCAGCTGCTACAACCCTATTTGCCGGGGCCCATACGCGTTAGCTAGGCCTCAGCTGCTGTCACTGTCTTCCGGGGTGCGCTGGGCATCTCTTTCTTGTTCTTCCCGTCGCTCCTCATATTCTAGCACTGCTTGTTCTACGATGGCCGCCTGGGTTGTTCTTCCCTTGCCTGCTCATACTCTTGTAACCACTGTCGCTCCTGATTGTCTGGTGGCCTCGAGCTGCCATCCGGGCTGATGATCCTGGAGCATTCCGCTTGCTCATCCTCGTCCTGGCCGGTGGTCCGCTGCCCCACGTTGCTTTGACTTGTTGTCGGTGCTGCCTTGCTGTGGTATGGCTGTGTCGGCTCCTCGTGCGGGTCCACTTGTTGTGGTAGCCACTGTCTCCAATCGTCCTCCGCTTCAGTCCTTTTATCTTCCGCCTCCTGCTATTCTCCTTCTGGCCCCAGTCTGTGTTTGGGCACTAGCCGTTCTCGGACACCGGTCGTCGGCCCTCTCCCCCCTGTTACTGTCCAACTCCCTTTCCACGCCTCGCTCTCGTTCCATCTGTTGCTTGGTTTTGGTTTCTCGGTGCGGGAGCTGTCCCTGCCGCCTCCTGGGGCTTGTCTGTCCTGCGGCTTCCCTGGTAGCCTGTTTCGGTTCTCTCTGCCTGCGCTTCCGCTCCATTTCTTGGGATGGGATGGTGGACAGCTGTCGCCTCAACTGTCTCCCAAGTCGTATCGAGGGCTTCACAAGACATAG